ATTACGTCAAGATTGTGTCTAATTAGATTATGCTCCCAGTACGGCAATTCAAAAAAGATACTCTTTTTCTTCCAATTATGTTTTTTCGCCCCATTTTTTACCCTCTCTACCTCTCTCCTATTCATTTCCTTAAGGTCATGATACTTATATTCTGTCAAGATATCTTCCGATTGTATCTGTAACAATATCTGAGTTCCAGATAACGTAGTAGGCTTGCGACCATGTTCTCCTCTCCCATCAAAAGACACTTTATCCTTTCGAAATTTGTGTTGACTAGGTAAAAATCGGCGATGACCCATGTAACAAAACTTTCTACCATGAGTCAACCAATTAGATCGAGTATTCGTGTTGCAAATTGGACGAGCATATTCACCTTTTGTACTCCACCCCGACAAGTTAGCATATGCAGGAAAATCATTAATTATCCACTGTAAGGTCGCGTGTAGCTGAAACATGTTACCGCTTGAGGCATCAAATGTTTGCACACTGTCCTCCCACAACTCTTTTAATTCCTCAATCAGAGGTTGCAAGTAGACATCAATCTTATTATCAGGCCCTTTTGGTCCATCAATAACAACAGAAAGAATAAAAAATAGTTGTTTCATGCACATCCATGGCGGTAAGTTATAGGGCATCAATACAACAGGCCAAGTGCTATGAACTATATTCATCGACCTGAAAGGATTGAATCCATCGGATGCCAGTCCAAGCCTAACATTATGACTATCAGTAGCAAAAATTGGGTATCGTTTGTCAAAAGTCTTTCATGCAAAAGAGTCAGTCGGATGCCTGAGTACACCATCATCAGTCCGTCCTTCTAAATGTCATCTCATATGCGAAGCAATTTTTGATAACATGAAGAGCCTCTGTAACCTTGGCTTCAAAGGAAAATACCTCACTTGTTTTGCAGCTATTGGTTTACTACCATTAAAAGCATCATTTGTATCACCTTCATGTTGTTTCCATCTAGAAGTATTGCATATCGAACATTTATCCATCTTTTCCTCCTCATTTCTAAACAACATGGAACTATTTGGACATGCATCCCATGTCTTATACGTGAACCTCAAGTCGTCGATTACCTTTTTGGCTTCATAGTATGAACTTGTCAATTTCACCCCAATGGGAAAAGCCTCATTTAGTAACACAAGCAACATCGTAATAGACTTATCCATCCATCCACAGAGCGCTTTTATATGCAATAATCTCACAAGAAATAAAATGTCATGAATTTCTCACACCCCGGATATAATTCTCTTTCCGCATCTTGTAAAAGTTTGAACAACTTCGCGGTGGGTTCATTTGTGCCACGTCGGAGATCATTTGTAGGTAGTTCAAGATTTTTAACACTGACATCTACATTTTGAGCTCCAATAGCATCGTGTATCATTCCAATTATATCATCCCCAATATTTGAATTATAACCAAGAAACATAGGCTTCTCCATGTTTAGTCCAATTCTTGTACTTCCTTGAAAAGCCATTTATAATAAAATATTCTCACACAACCTCTCGTTTAACAAAATAACGATTTAAACATAACCTGCACGGGCAATAAATTGTTGCATCTTCCGCTTGATTAGTGTATGCAAACTTGAGAAATTCCTCAACCCCTCTAAAGTATGCAAGTCTTTCTGTTAAATCAATCCAACTCTTATTCATATTTCTATTATCCTCGACTGTTTCATACATCTACATGAAGATAACTTAGTTATCACGAAAACTAAATTTAATGAGCATCCAAAAACTAACATATTCATGTTAAGAGTGCAGTAGAATTAAAGATACTAAGATGCACATGTGACTAAAAAATGGATGAATTTATCAATAACTTAAAACAATCCCAATTGGAAATGAACCAATCTGTTGTTTTCTTTAACCCCCATTAATAAAAAAGTGAACTTTTCATATTATACCGAAAAAATGAACTTAAACTGCAAAATTTTAGTTTGAGTTATTTTAGGGGTGTCAAACATGTCGTGTCATATCAGTTTCGTGTCGTGTCACTTTTAATCGTATTATTTTCGTGTTGTATCACTTTCGGTACGTGTCGGGTTTGTGTCAATAAAAAATTATTTAATTTGACAACAACTAATATAAAAAATTATAAAATTCTTATTTTCTATCTAAAATAATCATTAAATAATTATTTTTTATCTACAGTACTCATTAATCGTGTTATTCATGTTGAACTTTAATTTGACACATTTATTTCTCATGTCAACGAATCGTGTTATTTTCGGGTTCGATTCGAGTCTGGTTCATGTTCGTGTTTGAGTCAAAAATTGACACCCCTAGGTTATTTACAACTTTATAGTAGAAATAGTAAAATAACATGAAATTGTTAATGAAACAATAAACCTTTCTCATGTTGTGATTTTATATATATAAAAAAAGAAAATATGATTGAGAAAAATGAATTTTTTAAAAATTATAATGAGTTTAGTACAATACTGATTTTCTTTGGGATAGTGGGGGCTTTTTTTAACTTTAGATGAATTAAAAGGTTAAAGTGAAGAATGAGCAAGGTAAAAGCAGATGGGAAAACCAAACTCCACCACAGATCCCAAAGAGATTGAAGCTATAAGAGAAGATATATCCGATTAGATTGATAATAGATTTCTCAAATCTATGATTAATTTGAGAGTGGAAATAAGTTTCATGAAACATCATTTCCCCATTGCAACTAATAAATAAACGACTTATTCTTGAATTAGTAACCAATGAGCAAGTACACAAAACACACACACACACACACACACAGAGGCTTTCACTTCATCTACAATATGTTGTTATTTCCACCATAAACAGCAACAGTTCTGCATCTTTGTAGGAACATGCAATGATGCAAAACAAATGATAAAACTCATCATCACCAATTACAATAACATCAGTAATTAGAACTGTCAATCACCATTTTGGTAAATAAATACCCAACAAGTAGCTAGGAAGCAAAAAATTACTTTCCCTCTTCCCAGCTTTTTCATCTACGCCATAGGGAAAAAAAAAAGCAAAGGATTTAAATACTGGTCTAGACTCTGGACAATTATGAAAATGGAGAGAAAGAAAAAGGTCTGCATAATTCCATCGTATATTCATATTTAAGTTTTCCTGTTTTTTTAGTTGAAAACTTAAAATCTACCTCTTCATATTACCCTCATGGCAATGAACTGTATTTCGAGTGTAAGAGCCCGCGAAACCATTATCGCCCAAATTGAATTGACGAATAACAGTTATCACCCAAATTGAATTGACGAATAAGTCAATTAAATATGAGAACAATTATACAACCCATATAGAGCAATCAATAAAAAGGATGAAGAAAACATACCTGAAAGATGATGAGGGACGATTGGAATCTACTACAATACAAAAAGTATGATGACCACAATGGAAGATTGATGCACGAAAAAGAGATAAAAATGTGCTGTCGTGACTCTAGTAAACGGTAGTGGCAGTAGCAATTTGGAGACCTAGGGTTTACTCAAATTTTAACAAAGAGAGACAGGAAGAGAGGAGAGTGGATAAGCTAAAGAAAAAAATGATAATCATAGTGTGGGAGACGTGTGAATACAAGGGAGAAATCGTGAAGAGTGCAGCTCCTCTTCTGTTACGAGAAAACAGTACCGTGTTGTGTTAGTCAAGAACGACACCGTTTTTTTAAGTTTACACAATAAAATATTTTTCTCAAAACAGACCCACCAAATGACGTCGTTTTAATGGGTTAACACTTTACACAGTGATTCCACAAAACAGAGCTCCAAACATTAGACAGAAAAACATCACTTGCAAAACCATCTTCACTATTTCCAAGTCCCAACGTTGAATCAATTGATAGAAACATCTTAACTCAAAAAAAATTTGGCAATGGCTTGCTCCGCTTCTTGAATCGCAATCCTATGTGCTCATTCAAGACTCTTTGACGTTAATGGCAGCTCTCAACTGAAGTCTTGCCTATGAATGATTCTTTCGGCAATACCGATGAATCCCTTACTCAATCCCATTTGATGATTTTCCTAGTCTCTTTTGGCAATACCTATGAATCCCTTACTCAAACATAGTTGATGATTTTCCTAGAAATTGTTACAGTTGAGAGCTGCCATTAACGTTAACGGTGCTCATTCATAGGCAACAAGAGCAGGTGGTGTGTTGAGGACGAAGAAGCCGGTCTCATCTTCATCATCGCTGCTTTTCTAAATCCCCTGCTCCTGCACACACGAATTGAGACCCAGAAGCTTTCAATAGAGGTTTGAGAGAGAGAGAGAGAGAGAGTAGGTAGGGGACGATTTCGAGATGTGAACAAAGAAGAAGGTGAACAAAAATTTGGATCTGTATTTAGGCGAGATTGAGAGGGTTTTACTTTTGTGAAGACGGAGAATTCCACCTTTTTATTTTTAGTGAAAAAATTTTACCCAAAAAAATTATTTAAACAGTGGCATTTCGAACTAACAATAGACCCACAAAATAATATTATTTTAAAAATAGACTCACAAAATGACATCGTATTATATATACTAATTATCACAACAAATTCTCAATGTAACACAAGCAAAAATATTTGCGACAGAAAAAACTCATGTTGCAAAAAATAAAATTTTATTTATTTGTTACCACGACAATGGTTTACCATTGCAAATAAATCATTTTAAACGATAGAATTAGTAACAATCGCAAAAAAAATAATTTTGCCACGGTAAATGTACCGTCGCAAAAAAAGTAATGTAAAAATCCAAAATTCTTGTAGTGCGATAGCTATTGTTAATAGACAATTAGCATCACAAATTCACAACTTTATATTGGTTGAACCAAAATCATAATTTATAACATATTGCATAAAATTTTACAGTTGCGAAAAAGGAACTCGGTCTGAATTTGGGGCAAGGAAGAAGAAGACATACCTTCCTTTACTCTACACTACCAGAAAGATCACAAGTGTGCCTATAGAAAACAAATGATAGAATTTGAAAACATAATTACACCAGCAACCCCAGATGCCTCAGACAATTTCTTTAATATATTTGCAAAGTTTAATCACCCTGGCCATTCAGAGCTGGAATAGAAACGACCAACAAATCTTTACATTAAGTCAATCATACTATAGGCAGGAATTTTCTGAATTTTAGCATTCAGCATGGCTCTCCTCAAGGCAGCAGCATGGTCCCATTCCTGCGCATCAGCATAAATGCTTGAAAGCAGCACGTATCGCCCACAATGTCGTGGTTGCATGCCAAGCAGCCTTCTCCCCACTTCATTAGCCAACTCAATGGATCCATGAACCCTACAAGCACCCAAAAGAGCCCCCAAGACAGAGGCATCGGGCTCAAAAGGCATCCTTCTCACAAACTCATTTGCTTCCCTCAAAAGCCCAGCTCGGCCCAAGAGATCAACCACACATCCATAATGCTCCATCCTTGGAACAACCTTAAATACACAGGACATTGATTTAAACAATCCCAAACCCAACTCCAGGAGTTTGGCACGAGCACAAGCAGCCAGAACGGCAACAAAAGTAATCTCATTTGGCCTCCAGCCTCCTGCCTTCATCTTCTCAAACATGCCTAAAGCCTGCTTCTCCCCACCATTCAAAGCAAGCGACGAAATCACTGCATTCCAAGTGCACACCTCCTTGACCACCATATTGTTGAATACACCCATACCATATCCCAGACAACCCATTTTTCCGTAAAAAGCAATCAGCGCTGTTCCCATAAAAACTGTCAATTCAATCTCATTCTTAATCATATACCCATGTACTTCCTTCCCCTGATATATGGCTCTTCCACCATCCAAATTAGCACAGGAAGAAAGCAAACAAACAAATGTAGCTTCATTTGGTTTTACAAAACCACCCATTACATCTTCATGCATCATCATCTTTTCAAAAAACCCAATTGCCTCCTTAAAACACCCACTCCTTCCATAGCCATTTATAATACTCGTCCATGACAAAACATCTCTCACCCGCATACGTTCAAAGAGCAAAACAGCAGAACCCATGTCCCCATTTTTCCCAAACGCATCGAGCATCGCGTTATTAGATACAATACATGGTTCAGATATTTCATCAAACATAATACGTGCATGTTTAAGGTCAGCCTGTCCAGCATACAAGACAACAAAGCACGTTTGCACAAATGGGTCGTTTGATACACCCCGTTTGATGACATGGGTATGGAGGGGTTTGCCTATAAGTGAAGCCAAAGAAGGTGAAGAAGAGGCTGCTTTGATGAGGGAAGGGAAGGTATGGCTGTTTGGTGGTGCTTGATGAGCAAGCATATGTGGGAAGAGGAGTATGGTTCTGTACGGTTGGCCAAAGTTGAGGTAGGCTCTGATGAGAGTATTGTAGAGGAGTGTGTTCATCCATTTGAATCTTGGTGAAGTGTGGGAGTTCAAGAGGAGGTGACCGTTGGTGATTAGGAGGGAATGAATTTGTTTGGTTTGGTTCGAGTGTTTGATGAAACGTTGGAGGAGTTGGAGTAAGAGTTCAGGTGCAGGTGTGTGTGTGTGTGGCATACCAACACAGAGACTTCTTTCAAAGGGTTAAGTTGATTTTAAAGACAGCATAACACAAACATGGGATACACAACTCTATTACCAAAGAAAACAGTACCATAAATAGAACTGAAATGCATAGTTCTACTAACATAATAAGTCAGATACCACAATTTTTTTTATTTTTTTATTTGGATAATAGCACTTTTCGTATTTAAAATATATATTTTTTATCGATTTAATTCTTATTGTATCAATTTTGTTCTTAAAATATTCAATCCGTGTCATTTTAGTCTCTAATCAAACAATCCGTCAAGTTATTTATGAAAATAATCACATGTCATTTTTTTAAACGATATCACGCGCCCACGCCCAACACATAATCATTCCATAAAAAATTTAATAGTTCGTCTATGTAAAGACTAAAATTATACGAATTGAATACTTTAAAATTAAACTGATAAAATTGATATAATGAAAACTAAATTGATAAATATATACCCTTTAAGGATTAAAAATACTATTTTTTTTCAATTATTTTTATGGTGAGGTGCACCACGCCAATGCAATAGTGCAATGCAGCTCGAGGACCCCCAATAGCAATAAATAAATTTTTTAAAACATCAATTTATAATAAATAATTTTTTAATAATATTAGTTTGAGATAGAAGTAGGGTTATAATGTTTGAAGTGAGTTTCAATGTTAGATAGAACCTCCAACCAATCCAATGGTTGTATTTAATTAGGTCTCTAGATTAGGTTTTCAAATTATATCCGAATAATATTTTTCAAAAAAAAAATATTTGGTTACACCGTTATATTATGTTAGCAGTGTTACATGGTATAGTGATTTACTAATACATAAATAAGTCGGTATGTGAGCCCCACAAAAATTCATAATTACCCAATCATACAATACATAATCACATTCACAGTAGAAAATGAGCCCTATTTTATTTATTTTGTAATTCTTTTATTGAATGATTATACTACATTAACATTATTGACATTATGTAACCATTACTCCCAATATTTATTAATGTGGTAGATCACCAAGTTACATATACGACACCGTATGAAGCCAAGGACACTTTCATCAACGTCAGAAAAAGACTCATCCTCTGTAGTTATAAAAACTTTAGCTGGTACAGTGGGGGGAAGCTATGGTGTCTTATTGTTCCAGAAACTTCACCAAAACTTTCCCCAAGTCCACAGTGTTCGGCCTCGCACGACCGCTTTCTCTTTCCTCCACCGGTCCCCGGCTTAATCAAGTTCGTTCCATGGCGGACTCTACCCAGTTTAAGAAAATTCAGATTCAGAGAGACGACATTGTGAGTCTAATTTGTTCTTCCCTTTCATTTCTCATCCTTTGCTTCTTTTCTGTTCTTTTACAAGCTTACTGCATGTGATTTGTTGTTGTTTTCGAGATAATGAGACAATGGCGTCATGGGTTTGTTTCGATTGTCTATGATAGAGAGCTTGAGAGAGAGAGAGAGAGAGATTGAGTGCTTGTGACTCTGTGAGTGTTGTGTGTGTGTGATTAGAAATGCACGGGTGATTTCTTTAAATTGTTTGAGATAGCCTGTCGCAGGTGAACCTGAATGAGATTCCTAAAACAAATAACGAAGTCAGTGATGGTCCCAGACGTAATAAAAGCGGTGGCCAATTGTCGTTAGAAAAAGCAAATATATGACCAAAAAAAAAAGAAAAAGCAGATATGTCGACTCAACGATTTGATCGGAAAGTTTTATGGATATTTTAGATGAAGTCTTTTAAAATCAAAGATGTATTTATAAACTTCCGATGGTTACTAATATGCAACCATTCAAACAGGAGACCGTTGCCGACTCAAATCACCACCAACAGTTGTAGCTGTTACCAAGCGTGACCGCCGTCGACCGCTTCCTCTCCTACCCGTACACGGGGAAAACACCATCGATTAATATCCATGAGTTCACTGACTTACAGCTCTCACTTGAATGTGCATGGACATGACTCAAAAGTTTTCCAAGTTAATGTTTACCTTCGGTACCAAAATTTTGTTTTCACCAACTTTTTATTTGTAACCATTTACAGATTGACATCAAAACATGGCAATAGATTTACGTGCGCACGTTTTTGCCTCCGAGTCTAACCGCACTCATCCATATATGTTATCATTGCTGATAGCATACTCCTGATAACTTCAATTCACTCTATAACTAAGTGATTGGCATCAATGCTCCATACTAAGGACCATAAGGTCTACACCCTCAGTATCATTGACGACTTCAGCCAAACACAAATTTAATCAATGTGTTGATCTGTGCCCGAAATTTTGATCAAGTACTTCTTTTAAAGCCCATGCAAAGGTTTTCCTCAGTACACCTTATCGACAACTTAATAGACCATGCACCTTAGGTGACTATGTAGAGATCTCATGGTGCCTCAAAGTGGACTTTACACTCATGAACATGCGATAGCCCTGGAATGCCTACTCGTGTCCTCTACCTTTGATCTGACCAATTCATATCCTCAATCAGGTAGAGTCGCATCTTTCTATAAATTTTAGGCGTCCCCAAAATTTCTCTAAAGATCCCCTTCCCTACGTAATACTGCAATATGTAAGTGCTTTTTAAATCCATTACAGTTACATGCTCTCTAAATTTTTTCAGAATCAACCCCTTGATCCTCGGGTCAACCACCATCTCTTCTGAGGGTGTATAGTCGACTTTTATTTCACCCCTCTCCACTATATCTTGAATATAATGATAATTTACATCAATGTGTTTTCCTTTAGAGTTATTGGCTCCACCTTTTATTAAAGAGATAGTGGACTTATTGTCACAAAACATATTGACTGGCCTACTAGGTATACCCAACTTTAAACTATCAACAAAGCGTTTAATCCGAACAGCATTACTTACTCTGCAACACAACCCTGTTTCTTACTTAGTCAAGAAACAGTCGTTCCACCAAACAAAAATATATGGCCACTTGTAGATTTTTTGTCATCTACATCACCTGCAAAGTCTGCATCCGTATAGTCAATAATTTATAGATTATTTAATCCAAAACACAAGTTTATACTTGTCGTGCCTCTCAAGTATCTAAAAATTCTCTTCACTACCTGTCAATGTGCCCATCCTGGATTGGATTGATATCTACTTACTAATCCTACCGCATGACAAATATCGGGCCTTATACTTGTCATAGCATACATGAGACTACCCACAGCTTATGCATAGGGGACTTTACTCATTTCAAATATTTTCTCATTTAAACTAGGGTACATACCTTTACTTAGACTTTGACCCTTGCAGACAGGAGTGCTCAACGACTTACTATTATTCATACCGAATCTCTTGAGAACCTTTTCTAGATACTTTTCTTGATCCAAATATAAGAGTCTAAAATTTCTACTTCTAGAAATTCTAATTTCCAAGACATAATTAGCCTCACCCATGTCCTTCATTTCGAATTTAGATCGTAGGTACGCTTTGGTTTCTTTGATCATATTTGGACAATGCCCTGCCAATAAAATATCATCTACATAAAGTGACAAAATTGTTAGTTTATCATGGTGTGTCCACATATATATACAATAGTCTAAAGCACTAACTTCAAATCCTATTTCAAGGATTGTTTGGTGGAATTTTAAATACCATTGTCTAGAGGATTGTTTGAGTTCATACAAAGACCTTTTCAATTTATAGACTTTGTGTTCATGTCCTTTAACCTGAAAACCATAAAGTTGAACCGTATAGATGTCTTCTTTTAATTCTCCATTAAGGAAGGCCGTTTTCACATCTAACTGATGTAATTCAAGATCCATCTTAGCTACAACTGACATGAGTATCTTGATTGAAGTAAACTTAACAACTGGAGAATATGTATCCACAAAGTCTATTCCAAGTTGTTGAATAAATCATTTAGCAACCAACCTTGCTTTATACTTATCTAGAGACCCATCTACTTTCAATTTTTTTTTAAGGACTCATTTACAAGGCTTTCCTCTCTTTGGAAAGATCTACTAAATCCCATACATCATTTTTGTTAATTGAATCAAGCTCTTCTTTCATAGCTTGAAGTCATTAATCTGAATCACTACTATTGACCGCCTCCATAAAGTCCTTAGGATTCTTCTAATATTATGCTTTCATCTAGATTAAAAACGAAATGATCCTTTAATTTTTGAGATGGTACCCTCTTCCTTTTACTCCCACTTTTCTCAGCCTGTGAACCTTGTTCACCTTGGTCATCTATCATTTTCTAATCAATAATGTTATCAACAAGACTTGTAACATCATCATTTAACAATTTGATCTATTCAATGGGAGTTATTTGATTGGTAGACTCAATAAAAACAACATCCCTACTTTCAATCAATCATTTATCCGAATGAAAGAATCTATATCCACTTCCATTCTCAACATATCCTATGAACTTGCATTCCCACGTCTTTGTTCCTAGCTTATTCCTGAGAGGCTATGGAATAAGTACATGTGTCTCACACCCCCAAACTTTAAAATTAGATATGTCAGGTTTTGTTCCAGTCCAATATTCATAAGGAGTTTGAGATTTAGCCTTTGTCTTGACTCTATTTAAAATATAAGTTGCAGTAGATAAGCCATAATTGACCTTGTCATATCCAATAGAGTTCTATTACCTCTTTCTGCAATGCCATTTTGTTCAAGTGTGTATGGCATGGTATATAAATGTCGTATACCATTCTCTTTACAGAATTCTTCAAAAGCTTCATATTCACCACCCCTATCATTATTCAAAGTTTTAATTGGTCTTCCCAACTGTATTTCTACTTCCTTTTTATATTTTTTGAATCTATCAAGTGCATCAGACTTATATTTGATTAAGTAGATATGACCAAACCTTGAATAATCATCAGTAAAGGTTACAAAATATTTCATTCTTCTATGTGTTTTTGTTCTTAAAGGTCTGAATGGACAACCTCCAATAAATCCAAAGACTTTCAATATTTGTTAAAAGATTTTCTGGTCATCGTGCCTTTAACGCATGACTCACAAGTATCAAAATCTTTTGTATTCATTTGAGGTATAAGGCCTAATTTACTCATTCTGAGCATCTTGTCCTATTGATGTGACCTAATCTTAAATGTCATAGATAGGAATTATTTTCACTAGTTGAAACATTCATGTACTCAAAATAAGAAATTTTATTACTGTGGATAAGGTACATATCTTCAACCCTTGAACCCTTTACAATGGCATCATCATCCTTTCGAATGTAAAGAAATCCTGACTTGAAGCTTACATCATAACCCCTTTTATCCAATACAGACACCGATATAAGGTTCCTTCTAACATTAGGTGCATACAACACATTCTTAAGAATCAAGACTAACAACTCACACTCCACTTTGCAAGTTCCTTCTCCTAGGACATCAAAATATGTATTATTTCTCATGTAAATACGATACTCACCTGGTGCCTTTTTCATTGATTTCTGAGAAGCTCCCTTTGTCCCTTGTAATGTGTCTAGTTGCACGAAAGTCGATCCACCATTGTTCTTTTGAATCTTCAAGTAGCATCGCTTCAGAAATAGTCATAACTGCTTCCTTTTGTTTGCCCTTTTGCTTGTTCGGACACTTTGCTTTGAAATGCCCTTTTTGTCCACAAACGAAGCACGCCCCTTTGCTTTTGTTATTGAACTTTCTGAATTTGAACCACTGTTTTCCATTTTTCTTCCACTTCCTTTGTTTTTTGTGTTGCACTTCCGGTTTTGATCCAGATGTCTCAGCAATCAACAATTTTCCACTATCAGTGTCTTTTATCTTTCTATTCTTTTGTTCCTCCTCAAGTGCCAATAATGCTGGTAATGTGATCATAGTTAAATCTTTTCCTCCATAGGTCAAAGAAGTAACCACATGATTCCATGAATCTGGTAGGCCATTAAGAATAGTGGTCACTTGTATCTTATCAGTAAGTGGATGTCCAACAGTTGATAAATCTTTTGCCAGTAATTCCATTTGAAGTATATAATCCACCACTTTATCGCCCTCGGACATATGTATCCCATTAAACTTATCTAATAGTAATTGTATATGCGTATCAGATACAAGACCATACTTTGTCTTGAGTACATCCATAATTTTCTTAGCAGTTTTAAAATCTTTATTAAGGGGAATTAAATCATCTTGCATGCTAAATAGAATTAAGGCTCGGGCTAGATCATTATCTTCTTCCCACTAACTTATTTGTTTAGCAATTATGGGATCTATAACATTTTCTTTGGGCTTTGTTGTATAGGTTTTCTCATGTGTGAGCACGTAAATGATTTTACGCTTCTACATACGATAATTTATACCGTTCAATTTTTCTACCTTAAAAATATCAGCACCTCCTTTACTAGCCATGAGAAAATTTAATAATACTACCAACTGCTATAACTGTGAAGAATGTTTAATGCAACACTGCATACTAGTAACAAAAATAATACTAAACACCACCACTACTTTATTTGAAAGTAAAAAAAAATTGAAAATATAACTTATCTCTCTAGAAATCGACTAGAGTAATATTGATTCAAATATCCACGTCGATAAGTCTTCTTGTTGTATGGAGAAATATGCTTTTCTTTTGGCTTGGCAAAAATAATCTGACTCCTAAAACTATTAAAGAATTGTGTAGTAGAGCCTCCCTTTACAAGTTCTCTAGAGATCCTTAGAGATCGTGACCCATTAATTTTATGATTAGAATTTATCTCTAAAGTGACCAAATCTAGAAATGTGAAATTAACGCACTTGTCGAAAGGATGGCGCCAATAACAATGTATCCGAGGTTTTAATAATGGCTTCTTTAACACAGGAGCGTTTTGAACCAAAGACTGACTTTTTTCAAAATCACCAAAAACTCGATTCTAAACTGTAATTTGATAACACTCGTAAAATGGTTCCATTCGTCGGAATTTGAATGGACTAAATCGAAGTCCGATTGAAAAACATATGGCCTTTCAAAATATACTAATTCAGTTTGAACCGATTCAAAATTAAACCGGTTTGGAAAAGGGTCCAAACGATTGGAGTGGGCTGGTCCAGCGGGTAGGCTTGAATTAAATCAGGAGGCTGCAAGCAAGGGGCTAGATTGGGCTTGGACAAAAATTGGGCCTGAATTAAATGAAGAGAATCTCCTTGGGCTTGAATTAAATAAGACCTTGGGCTTGAAGACAGTGGGCTTGGATTAAATGAAGACAATTGCCTTTGTAACAGGAGTCGTCTTCTTCGTTGAGACCACTAGCCGGCGAAATGAAGTTCCAGAGAATTACAAAATCCGACGAAGAGCTTTTTCTCTTTAATCCTTGGGTATTTTCACCCAAAATTTTACCAATATGATCCTTGCACAATCCTCTTCTACGTAGTCTCAACCAATATCGAATATATTTAAATTTTGATCCGCACAATTTTTTTTGGAAAATCCGTATTCGTCATAAAACCTTGCTCTGATACCACTGATGGTCCCGGATGTAATACAAGCGGTGGCCAATTGTCATTAGTCTGTTGATCGCGTGCACTCAGAGAAAAAGCAGATATGTCGATTCAACGATTTGATCAGAAATTTTTATGGATATTTTAGATAAAGTCTTTCAAGATCAAAAATGTATTTATAGACTTCCAATGGTTGTCAATATGCCCGTTGTTGACTCAAATCACCACCAACGATTGTAGCCGTTGTCGAGCGTAACCACCGCCGTCAACCGCTTCCTCTCTTATCCGTACACGAAAAAACACTTAACGATTAATCTCCATGAGTTCAATGACTTACAATAAAAAAGGAACGGAAGTGTTCCCAGCTTATCCCTCCGAAGTTGAACTCATCGGGGCTCAAAACTGAGAGGATAAGTTTAACTATTGAGTGGACACGCCGTCCACTCGAGTGCTCAACTTAGACTTGACAACCTAAGGAATGCAATAAGTGCTCCCCGACATACCTCATTAATGCTCAATAAGGGGACAAAGTCAGGGCTGGATGATCGGGAGAGGCTAAGCATTTATGACTATCTACCCTCATAGGCATCAAGTCATCCCGAACATACGTTAAATACTCGCAGCCTGTAGCCGAGTATTTGAGGCTACCTGCCAAGCATTTAATTGGATGCACCCGCGGGTTATTCGCCACCAATAAGGGCCATCGGCTCCATGAGAGTCTCTTGTTGATGCGGTGACAATAATTATTTGTCACATCAATACTATGCACGAGGTGCACGTCCCAATGACAATTAATCCTCGGGGGCAGCTGTTCACATTGGTCCCCTTCGTGCATTTACTCTGCCCGATGGTTGCGACCTCCTCAGCTTCGGCTCAGGGGAGCTTGGGAGACAAAATTCCTTGCTAAGATATGCCACGTGTTGTCTTGCGATTGGCAAGCCATCCACATCCCGTCAAGAAATTAGAGAGAAACCGTACTTTGATTAAAAAAACCTGTTGGTCCAAGAATATGGCCAAACAGAACCATATATACTTTTGAATTTGATTAGAAATGCTTTGCTTATTGCCTACTCCAAGAATCTGCCTAATCAGTTAGCAATTGTTTTTTGGTCACTCAGTTAGCAATATAAAAAACGGTGAAATAATGTTGTCAATAGTGAGCTTTAATTGCAGCTAAACAAAAAATTTTGAATGACCCGGGTATGTTTAATTGGAGAAATAAGGGGATGTGTGGACGAAGGATGCATTCTTTTCCATTTCACATGAATAAATATGAAAACTTGTAATCTAGCAACAGAAAACAAGAGTGTAAAGGCAGAGACGGAGAGGAAAACATGAAGAAATGTAAGATTTTTGCCCTGGCGATGGCACTTGCTCCTAAGACTGTATTTCCATCTCCAACACAAAAGTAGATCATAAAATTTGTATTTTTTTAAGAAAAGATTATGGATGAAGAACACAATGGGAGATCAGTTAGTGAGACTGCATTCCACTAGGACCACTCCAAACAGGCCATAAAATTCTATTAGGCCATTTTAAACTGCTTGATTAACTTTACATACTATCTCTGAAGCTGCATCTGATTTTCATTTAACCCACTATCTTGTGGAAAGATGGCGAGACAGCAACTGTACCTTTTTTGTTTCTGTATTCATTCATGCATATTACCCTTTGATGTACTCATATGAGGTATTTCATGGAAATCAAAAGAATGTTAACACGTTTTCATTTACTTTGGGGTGTGTGTGAGATCAACCAGACATTTGATGCATACGTTGGTGGCAAAGAAAATGCCTCTGGCATTGTTGTGGTTCAGGAGTGGTGGGGTATTGATTTCGAGGTCAAGAACCACGCTCTGAAAATTTCCCAGTTTGATCCTGGCTATAAAGCACTTATACCTGAGTAAGATATCATTACTTGCTACAAATTTAATTAGACATCTTTTGGACTTAAAGATTGAGGGTAACAGTTTTGGCTGTTTTTGATTTTCTCTTCTTACTTTCAGCTTGTATCGTGGAAAGGTTGGTTTAGATGCTACAGAAGCACAGCTTATGATGGATGGTCTTGACTGGCAAGGTGCTGTGAAGGACATTCAGGCTTCAGTTAACTGGCTCAAGGCTAATGGTTCACAGAAGGTGTATTTTTTTTTGTTCGATGATGTATTTCTCACTTGTTGCCATGGACATGTTGACTAGATTACTCTGTTCTACAAACGAATTGTATCAAACCCAAGTTTTCTTGTATAACACTTCACATTGCTTTGAAGTTCGAACAATAATAGACCTTGTATTTACTTCAATATGGATGTCTTCACGATGTTGTTTTTAACCTCTTTTTGGTTATTTCTTAATCTTCTATTGTCTTTTATTTTTATTTCTTTGTATTTTGAGTTTTTTTTCTTATATATTCTTGAGATTTGATTTTGTTTATCTTAAGGTTTACCTCTCATGGAGAAACAAGTGCGAGTTCTTTGCCTGTTGCATTTTTAGATCATAACAATGACTTTTTGAAGGCATAGTTGACAAATTAGCAAGGTTGGAAGAATAAGCTCTGTGGCACATTTTTTAGTGCATTACTTTCCATTCAAATTCAGTTTTATTTAATGGTTAATTCTAACAAGCTTACATGTTAATGCAAAGCCCTTACAACGCGAATAGAAGTAAGGTGATATCTTAGGATTTTAACCTCCGTACTTTCATATTTCGTCAAATACTTTACCAAATAAATCCATTCTTGACATAAGGGTACATTGATAAAGTGTTACAGAGTTATGAAATGACTTGATTTTGGCCATTCATTGTCTTATAATATATGTACCTTTTTCCAACAGGTGGGGGTAGCAGGATTCTTGCATGGTTAGTGCTCTCGCCATTGCAAGTTCTGTTTTGGTCCCTGGGGTTGACGCTGTTGCAGCCTTCTGTGGAGTTCCTTCATCAGAGCTTGCAGATCCTATCCATGCTAAGGCACCTGTGCAGGCCCATTTTGGGGAGCGTGACAATTTGGAAGGCTTTTCAGATGTGAAGGTATTAGTTGAATAATTCTTGTTAACTTTCAGTATCACTATCAAAATGTTGTCTTTCATCATGTTGCATTATATTTTTTGGAGCTTAATTTCCTTGGCTTTTGACGAATTATGATACTGTGTGGCCCTTGTCTTATAGCAAAGGTTGAAAATTCTGCACATCGGATAGTCTCGGAATGATGTGAGAAAGTTGCGAGCATTGTTTGGAGATCTAAGTTCGCAAGTGGGGAACAGTCTCAAGGTCGAGAGTGACAGAGATTCCTTGTTTGAAAGCAATATGAAAAACAAAAAAACTGTTGCATGTTGCTGCAAATATAACTTTATAAAATAAGGACATTAAAACTTCACTAGTCTGCCTGCACAAAATAAAGTACTGCAAACTTGGCAAGGGTCATATGGATTGCAGTTGCAATTTGGTAATCATTTGGTGCAGTGTTATTTTTGGTTGATGTGCCGGAAGCAGCAAGTTTAAGCTTTCAGGGCTTTATGGGAACCATGATTAGATTGCCATGAGATCGAATTAGAGGTGCTGGATCCAGAAGTTCATCAGCTGCATCTATTTGCACTGTGACCCGCCTTTATACAAACAGGTAACACGGATGAATTTGCTTTCTGAAACCATAACTAGCTGCAAACATGCCTCTCAGTCTCAGCGTCTGACATGAACTTTCTGCAAACTATAATTAGATTACCGTTGGGTCAAATGAGAGGTCGTGAATACAAAAGTCTGCCTCTGTGTAGGCAAGCTACACAAATTCCTCGTATGTGTTTTTCAATCTCCGCCACGATGTTTGTGGACCATCAAAACGAAATAGAAAACCGCCATCCATTCACCTACTTCATCTAAACACCTNTTGATTTCGAGGTCAAGAACCACGCTCTGAAAATTGCCCAGTTTGATCCTGGCTATAAAGCACTTATACCTGAGTAAGATATCATTACTTGCTACAAATTTAATTAGACATCTTTTGGACTTAAAGATTGAGGGTAACAGTTTTGGCTGTTTTTGATTTTCTCTTCTTACTTTCAGCTTGTATCGTGGAAAGGTTGGTTTAGATGCTACAGAAGCACAGCTTATGATGGATGGTCTTGACTGGCAAGGTGCTGTGAAGGACATTCAGGCTTCAGTTAACTGGCTCAAGGCTAATGGTTCACAGAAGGTGTATTTTTTTTTGTTCGATGATGTATTTCTCACTTGTTGCCATGGACATGTTGACTAGATTACTCTGTTCTACAAACGAATTGTATCAAACCCAAGTTTTCTTGTATAACACTTCACATTGCTTTGAAGTTCGAACAATAATAGACCTTGTATTTACTTCAATATGGATGTCTTCACGATGTTGTTTTTAACCTCTTTTTGGTTATTTCTTAATCTTCTATTGTCTTTTATTTTTATTTCTTTGTATTTTGAGTTTTTTTTCTTATATATTCTTGAGATTTGATTTTGTTTATCTTAAGGTTTACCTCTCATGGAGAAACAAGTGCGAGTTCTTTGCCTGTTGCATTTTTAGATCATAACAATGACTTTTTGAAGGCATAGTTGACAAATTAGCAAGGTTGGAAGAATAAGCTCTGTGGCACATTTTTTAGTGCATTACTTTCCATTCAAATTCAGTTTTATTTAATGGTTAATTCTAACAAGCTTACATGTTAATGCAAAGCCCTTACAACGCGAATAGAAGTAAGGTGATATCTTAGGATTTTAACCTCCGTACTTTCATATTTCGTCAAATACTTTACCAAATAAATCCATTCTTGACATAAGGGTACATTGATAAAGTGTTACAGAGTTATGAAATGACTTGATTTTGGCCATTCATTGTCTTATAATATATGTACCTTTTTCCAACAGGTGGGGGTAGCAGGATTCTTGCATGGTTAGTGCTCTCGCCATTGCAAGTTCTGTTTTGGTCCCTGGGGTTGACGCTGTTGCAGCCTTCTGTGGAGTTCCTTCATCAGAGCTTGCAGATCCTATCCATGCTAAGGCACCTGTGCAGGCCCATTTTCTGGAGCGTGACAATTTTGAAGGCTTTTCAGATGTGAAGGTATTAGTTAGATAATTCTTGTTAACTTTCAGTATCACTATCAAAATGTTGTCTTTCATCATGTTGCATTATATTTTTTGGAGCTTAATTTCTTTGGCTTTTGACGAATTATGATACTGTGTGGCCCTTGTCTTATAGCAAAGGTTGAAAATTCTGCACATCGGATAGTCTCGGAATGATGTGAGAAAGTTGCGAGCATTGTTTGGAGATCTAAGTTCGCAAGTGGGGAACAGTCTCAAGGTCGAGAGTGACAGAGATTCCTTGTTTGAAAGCAATATGAAAAACAAAAAAACTGTTGCATGTTGCTGCAAATATAACTTTATAATCTTGGTATGAAATTGAGCTAAGGTGAACGAAATGTAGTCTTGTAATTTTGGCATCATTCTCCAATAGATTTTCCTTTGGATTTCTTTGCCATTCTATTGTCTTTTGGAAGAAGGTATCATTCGTCTAACTCATCTTTCTTGTTCCATTTCATAAATATTTGCAATGGGCGAACTTTACTAGCCTCATGTAAGTTCCATCTAGCTTAATTGTTATCGTCTCTTGGTGTTGAATTCTTGCATGACTTAATTTTTTTTCTTTAAAATTTGGAAGGGTGTGTAGCCAGCTAGGAGGACTGTGAGATAACAAAATGTCTTAAGTTGTTCTTCATTCGGTAGTTTTTCCTTTCTTACATTAAAATTAGTTTTCATAGATGGGATTTTGCTTGTCATTATTTTCTATGGAAATATTGAAATAAGAACTTATCAGGAAAAAAAAATTAATAAAATAAGGACATTAAAAGTNAAAAAACGGTGAAATAATGTTGTCAATAGTGAGCTTTAATTGCAGCTAAACAAAAAATTTTGAATGACCCGGGTATGTTTAATTGGAGAAATAAGGGGATGTGTGGACGAAGGATNAAAAAACGGTGAAATAATGTTGTCAATAGTGAGCTTTAATTGCAGCTAAACAAAAATTTTTGAATGACCCGGGTAAGTTTAATTGGAGAAATAAGGGGAAGTGTGGACGAAGGGTGCATTCTTTTCCATTTCACATGAATAAATATGAAAACTTGTAATCTAGCAACAGAAAACAAGAGTGTAAAGGCAGAGACGGAGAGGAAAACATGAAGAAATGTAAGATTTTTGCCCTGGCGATGGCACTTGCTCCTAAGACTGTATTTCCATCTCCAACACAAAAGTAGATCATAAAATTTGTATTTTTTTAAGAAAAGATTATGGATGAAGAACACAATGGGAGATCAGTTAGTGAGACTGCATTCCACTAGGACCACTCCAAACAGGCCATAAAATTCTATTAGGCCATTTTAAACTGCTTGATTAACTTTACATACTATCTCTGAAGCTGCATCTGATTTTCATTTAACCCACTATCTTGTGGAAAGATGGCGAGACAGCAACTGTACCTTTTTTGTTTCTGTATTCATTCATGCATATTACCCTTTGATGTACTCATATGAGGTATTTCATGGAAATCAAAAGAATGTTAACACGTTTTCATTTACTTTGGGGTGTGTGTGAGATCAACCAGACATTTGATGCATACGTTGGTGGCAAAGAAAATGCCTCTGGCATTGTTGTGGTTCAGGAGTGGTGGGGTATTGATTTCGAGGTCAAGAACCACGCTCTGAAAATTGCCCAGTTTGATCCTGGCTATAAAGCACTTATACCTGAGTAAGATATCATTACTTGCTACAAATTTAATTAGACATCTTTTGGACTTAAAGATTGAGGGTAACAGTTTTGGCTGTTTTTGATTTTCTCTTCTTACTTTCAGCTTGTATCGTGGAAAGGTTGGTTTAGATGCTACAGAAGCACAGCTTATGATGGATGGTCTTGACTGGCAAGGTGCTGTGAAGGACATTCAGGCTTCAGTTAACTGGCTCAAGGCTAATGGTTCACAGAAGGTGTATTTTTTTTTGTTCGATGATGTATTTCTCACTTGTTGCCATGGACATGTTGACTAGATTACTCTGTTCTACAAACGAATTGTATCAAACCCAAGTTTTCTTGTATAACACTTCACATTGCTTTGAAGTTCGAACAATAATAGACCTTGTATTTACTTCAATATGGATGTCTTCACGATGTTGTTTTTAACCTCTTTTTGGTTATTTCTTAATCTTCTATTGTCTTTTAATTTTATTTCTTTGTATTTTGAGTTATTTTTCTTATATATTCTTGAGATTTGAATTTGTTTATCTTGAGGTTTACCTCTCATGGAGAAACAAGTGCGAGTTCTTTGCCTGTTGCATTTTTAGATCATAACAATGACTTTTTGAAGGCATAGTTGACAAATTAGCAAGGTTGGAAGAATAAGCTCTGTGGCACATTTTTTAGTGCATTACTTTCCATTCAAATTCAGTTTTATTTAATGGTTAATTCTAACAAGCTTACATGTTAATGCAAAGCCCTTACAACGCGAATAGAAGTAAGGTGATATCTTAGGATTTTAATCTCCGTACTTTCATATTTCGTCAAATACTTTACCAAATAAATCCATTCTTGACATAAGGGTACATTGATAAAGTGTTACAGAGTTATGAAATGACTTGATTTTGGCCATTCATTGTCTTATAATATATGTACCTTTTTCCAACAGGTGGGGGTAGCAGGATTCTTGCATGGTTAGTGCTCTCGCCATTGCAAGTTCTGTTTTGGTCCCTGGGGTTGACGCTGTTGCAGCCTTCTGTGGAGTTCCTTCATCAGAGCTTGCAGATCCTATCCATGCTAAGGCACCTGTGCAGGCCCATTTTGGGGAGCGTGACAATTTGGAAGGCTTTTCAGATGTGAAGGTATTAGTTGAATAATTCTTGTTAACTTTCAGTATCACTATCAAAATGTTGTCTTTCATCATGTTGCATTATATTTTTTGGAGCTTAATTTCCTTGGCTTTTGACGAATTATGATACTGTGTGGCCCTTGTCTTATAGCAAAGGTTGAAAATTCTGCACATCGGATAGTCTCGGAATGATGTGAGAAAGTTGCGAGCATTGTTTGGAGATCTAAGTTCGCAAGTGGGGAACAGTCTCAAGGTCGAGAGTGACAGAGATTCCTTGTTTGAAAGCAATATGAAAAACAAAAAAACTGTTGCATGTTGCTGCAAATATAACTTTATAAAATAAGGACATTAAAACTTCACTAGTCTGCCTGCACAAAATAAAGTACTGCAAACTTGGCAAGGGTCATATGGATTGCAGTTGCAATTTGGTAATCATTTGGTGCAGTGTTATTTTTGGTTGATGTGCCGGAAGCAGCAAGTTTAAGCTTTCAGGGCTTTATGGGAACCATGATTAGATTGCCATGAGATCGAATTAGAGGTGCTGGATCCAGAAGTTCATCAGCTGCATCTATTTGCACTGTGACCCGCCTTTATACAAACAGGTAACACGGATGAATTTGCTTTCTGAAACCATAACTAGCTGCAAACATGCCTCTCAGTCTCAGCGTCTGACATGAACTTTCTGCAAACTATAATTAGATTACCGTTGGGTCAAATGAGATGTCGTGAATACAAAAGTCTGCCTCTGTGTAGGCAAGCTACACAAATTCCTCGTATGTGTTTTTCAATCTCCGCCACGATGTTTGTGGACCATCAAAACGAAATAGAAAACCGCCATCCATTCACCTACTTCATCTAAACACCTGTTCCTGCTCCTAGTTGACTAGGATTAACCATTTTTTTTATAGCAACCAGGATTAACCATCACCAATCTGTTTGTGGAGTTTCTAGTATTAAACAAAATATTCCCAAACGGTGGTCTACTTCCTTCTGAAGATGCTCCTATGGGGTACAAACACCACTTCACTATTTTCTGGTTCGAACTTGAGAGACCTTCCACAAAAAAAAAAAAAAATCCATGTAATCTATTTGTGATGTAAAATCGCTTCTTGTGAGTGTTAACCTAGCCAGCCATGCTTTGCAATCTTCATTGTGTGGTTAAAAATGGTGGCCGACTTCAAGGAAGGTTCTTATGATGTAGAATATATGCTAGTTTAGGCACCAAGATTGAAATTTACCCTGTTATATATGTTTATAGAACCGAATGTATGGGATAAGTGAATGAATTGGTCTGTAAATAAAGGAAGCTCTGCTCAGTAATTCATTCGAGTCTGTATATGCATGCATGTTTGTGTATTGATTTGGCTATCAAACTTTGGCATTTCAGACTGCTAAAGCTTTAGAGGAAAAGCTGAAGGCATCAGGGGTTCCTTATGAGGTANTTGCAGCCTTCTGTGGAGTTCCTTCATCAGAGCTTGCAGATCCTATCCATGCTAAGGCACCTGTGCAGGCCCATTTTCTGGAGCGTGACAATTTTGAAGGCTTTTCAGATGTGAAGGTATTAGTTAGANGAACAAATCTCCCGAAGGTGTTAAGAGGAGAAAAGGTATGGGAATGGATGACGCTGTGGTCGAGTTAGCATGGTCTCGCTTCCGTTCATGGATGAGTCGCTTCTTATCTCCTTAAGCAGAGTATGTATACTGCCATCACATGGTAGCTTGATATAATAAGATGGTATGGTAAACGGAGGCACTGGAGGGCTGCACTATGCTATTGATGCTATTGTTATACTTTTAGTATGTGTGGATGCAATTTGGAAAATCACTATTATGTTGAGTTGAATTGAGCATATAGACTGGTGATTTTTCATCTTTTGCACATTGATTAATTACACTTCTTTCCCCTGAAGGTTCACTTGATTCTCCACTTTGGTCCTTAAGGTTCTTTTTTCCCCAATTTCACTCTTCTACTTTCAACATGTTTCAATTCAGTCCAATCAGTGACTTGTATCAAGTCGATGATGGCATGTGTGCGTCACATGATGCACATGNCACGATGTTGTTTTTAACCTCTTTTTGGTTATTTCTTAATCTTCTATTGTCTTTTAATTTTATTTCTTTGTATTTTGAGTTATTTTTCTTATATATTCTTGAGATTTGAATTTGTTTATCTTGAGGTTTACCTCTCATGGAGAAACAAGTGCGAGTTCTTTGCCTGTTGCATTTTTAGATCATAACAATGACTTTTTGAAGGCATAGTTGACAAATTAGCAAGGTTGGAAGAATAAGCTCTGTGGCACATTTTTTAGTGCATTACTTTCCATTCAAATTCAGTTTTATTTAATGGTTAATTCTAACAAGCTTACATGTTAATGCAAAGCCCTTACAACGCGAATAGAAGTAAGGTGATATCTTAGGATTTTAATCTCCGTACTTTCATATTTCGTCAAATACTTTACCAAATAAATCCATTCTTGACATAAGGGTACATTGATAAAGTGTTACAGAGTTATGAAATGACTTGATTTTGGCCATTCATTGTCTTATAATATATGTACCTTTTTCCAACAGGTGGGGGTAGCAGGATTCTTGCATGGTTAGTGCTCTCGCCATTGCAAGTTCTGTTTTGGTCCCTGGGGTTGACGCTGTTGCAGCCTTCTGTGGAGTTCCTTCATCAGAGCTTGCAGATCCTATCCATGCTAAGGCACCTGTGCAGGCCCATTTTGGGGAGCGTGACAATTTGGAAGGCTTTTCAGATGTGAAGGTATTAGTTGAANTGTTAACCTAGCCAGCCATGCTTTGCAATCTTCATTGTGTGGTTAAAAATGGTGGCTGACTTCAAGGAAGGTTCTTATGATGTAGAATATATGCTAGTTTAGGCACCAAGATTGAAATTTACCCTGTTATATATGTTTAAGTTGATAGAACCGAATGTATGGGATAAGTGAATGAATTGGTCTGTAAATAAAGGAAGCTCTGCTCAGTAATTCATTCAAGTCTTTATATGCATGCATGTTTGTGTATTGATTTGGCTATCAAACTTTGGCATTTCAGACTGCTAAAGCTTTAGAGGAAAAGCTGCAGGCATCAGGGGTTCCTTATGAGGAATACTTGTATCCAGAGACTGGACATGCCTTTATGAACAAATCTCCCGAAGGTGTTAAGAGGAGAAAAGGTATGGGAATGGATGACGCTGTGGTCGAGTTAGCATGGTCTCGCTTCCGTTCATGGATGAGTCGCTTCTTATCTCCTTAAGCAGAGTATGTATACTGCCATCACATGGTAGCTTGATATAATAAGATGGTATGGTAAACGGAGGCACTGGAGGGCTGCACTATGCTATTGATGCTATTGTTATACTTTTAGTATGTGTGGATGCAATTTGGAAAATCACTATTATGTTGAGTTGAATTGAGCATATAGACTGGTGATTTTTCATCTTTTGCACATTGATTAATTACACTTCTTTCCCCTGAAGGTTCACTTGATTCTCCACTTTGGTCCTTAAGGTTCTTTTTTCCCCAATTTCACTCTTCTACTTTCAACATGTTTCAATTCAGTCCAATCAGTGACTTGTATCAAGTCGATGATGGCATGTGTGCGTCACATGATGCACATGTCTTTCTGTGATAAATTAACTACCTTTATTGATTGGGCCGAATCAATATCATGTCAAAAGTTAGAGGAGGAAATTTAGAAAAAAAAAAAGTTGTAAGGTCCATAGTGAAAATCAATGCACAAGCTGANAAAAAAAAAAAAGTTGTAAGGTCCGTAGTGAAAATCAATGCACAAGCTGAGTGTGAAAACAACTATAATTAACCATTTTTTTTCATCTACTATATTATCCTAGCAGAAAGTATACAATACATGGATTCTGACATGCAATGATTTTAGTGGTGCTAGCAGTGAACCTTGACCTTCCTTAATGTTGTACAAGTTATGCAGCCATGATCCAAATTATTAGGTTGCTTAAATCTTTTATATTAAATGGAAAAGTGAATTCAAAAAATAATAAGCAAACACGAAAAACGATTGGACTTTAAAAGTTACTAAATTTCACACAAAAGATGATATAAATACCAAAAAAAAAAGTGAAAAGTGNATGGTAGCTTGATATAATAAGATGGTATGGTAAACGGAGGCACTGGAGGGCTGCACTATGCTATTGATGCTATTGTTATATTTTTAGTATGTGTGGATGCAATTTGGAAAATCACTATTATGTTGAGTTGAATTGAGCATATAGACTGGGGATTTTCCTTCTTTTGCACATTCATTAATTACACTTCTTTCCCCTGAAGTTTCACTTGATTCTGCACTTTGGTCCTTAAGGTTCTTTTTTCCCCAATTTCATTCTTCTACTTTCAACATGTTTCAATTCAATTCAATCCAATCAGTGACTTGTATCAAGTCGATGATGGCATGTGTGCGCCACATGATGCACACGTCTTTCTGTGATAAATTAACTACCTTTATTGATTGGGCCGAATCAATATCATGTCAAAAGTTAGAGGAGGAAATTTAGAAAAAAAAAAAAAGTTGTAAGGTCCGTAGTGAAAATCAATGCACAAGCTGAGTGTGAAAACAACTATAATTAACCATTTTTTTTCATCTACTATATTATCCTAGCAGAAAGTATACAATACATGGATTCTGACATGCAATGATTTTAGTGGTGCTAGCAGTGAACCTTGACCTTCCTTAATGTTGTACAAGTTATGCAGCCATGATCCAAATTATTAGGTTGCTTAAATCTTTTATATTAAATGGAAAAGTGAATTAAAAAAATAATAAGCAAACACGAAAAACGATTGGACTTTAAAAGTTACTAAATTTCACACAAAAGATGATGTAAATACCAAAAAAAAAAGTGAAAAGTGGTGATAAATGGTATGGTATCAATTTATTTTTGGTATCATAGTCAAACCCTACAATGAGAAGAAAAGCTTTGGGAGCACTGTCAAGAATCTGTGGGCATTATGTATTTTAGTTATGTACCATCTTTTAGGTGAATCTTATTTTAAATAAATAATTTGTACATACATGTGCAAAATGATATTATTGTACTTATGATTAAGCTTAGAGGAAGGAATCAAGTCCATACCAAGAAAAAAAAACACAAAAAGGTAAAAATGCAAAAACAATCACTTTCCATTACTCAATAGGCCAATTCTTCGCACATAATTAAAGGAGTCATTGAAAGGTGACTAAAACACTAAAAACAGAGACTATCTGAGTTAATGATAAAGGCAAAAACACTTTTCAATCAGTCCTTTCTATAACCAACCTCACATATTCAACTCAATCTTTTATACCGATATATCGTACTTTCTCGATAAGGTTATCGTAAGAAAATATTGTTAAATCTTTTTCAAAGTGAGAGAAGGCGCGATACAACTAACATGACAGCCAGCTGAAAAACATTAGTCAGCTAGGCTAGCACGCAATGACTTTTTATGATAGGGGCTCACTTCTTCAAGCTCCNCTTCACTAGTCTGCCTGCACAAAATAAAGTACTGCAAACTTGGCAAGGGTCATATGGATTGCAGTTGCAATTTGGTAATCATTTGGTGCAGTGTTATTTTTGGTTGATGTGCCGGAAGCAGCAAGTTTAAGCTTTCAGGGCTTTATGGGAACCATGATTAGATTGCCATGAGATCGAATTAGAGGTGCTGGATCCAGAAGTTCATCAGCTGCATCTATTTGCACTGTGACCCGCCTTTATACAAACAGGTAACACGGATGAATTTGCTTTCTGAAACCATAACTAGCTGCAAACATGCCTCTCAGTCTCAGCGTCTGACATGAACTTTCTGCAAACTATAATTAGATTACCGTTGGGTCAAATGAGATGTCGTGAATACAAAAGTCTGCCTCTGTGTAGGCAAGCTACACAAATTCCTCGTATGTGTTTTTCAATCTCCGCCACGATGTTTGTGGACCATCAAAACGAAATAGAAAACCCCCATCCATTCACCTACTTCATCTAAACATTTGTTCCTGCTCCTAGTTGACTAGGATTAACCATTTTTTTTATAGCAACCAGGATTAACCATCACCAATCTGTTTGTGGAGTTTCTAGTATTAAACAAAATATTCCCAAACGGTGGTCTACTTCCTTCTGAAGATGCTCCTATGGGGTACAAACACCACTTCACTATTTTCTGGTTCGAACTTGAGAGACCTTCCACAAAAAAAAAAAAAAAAAATCCATGTAATCTATTTGTGATGTAAAATCGCTTCTTGTGAGTGTTAACCTAGCCAGCCATGCTTTGCAATCTTCATTGTGTGGTTAAAAATGGTGGCTGACTTCAAGGAAGGTTCTTATGATGTAGAATATATGCTAGTTTAGGCACCAAGATTGAAATTTACCCTGTTATATATGTTTATAGAACCGAATGTATGGGATAAGTGAATGAATTGGTCTGTAAATAAAGGAAGCTCTGCTCAGTAATTCATTCGAGTCTGTATATGCATGCATGTTTGTGTATTGATTTGGCTATCAAACTTTGGCATTTCAGACTGCTAAAGCTTTAGAGGAAAAGCTGCAGGCATCAGGGGTTCCTTATGAGGAATACTTGTATCCAGAGACTGGACATGCCTTTATGAACAAATCTCCCGAAGGTGTTAAGAGGAGAAAAGGTATGGGAATGGATGACGCTGTGGTCGAGTTAGCATGGTCTCGCTTCCGTTCATGGGTGAGTCGCTTCTTATCTCCTTAAGCAGAGTATGTATACTGCCATCACATGGTAGCTTGATATAATAAGATGGTATGGTAAACGGAGGCACTGGAGGGCTGCACTATGCTATTGATGCTATTGTTATATTTTTAGTATGTGTGGATGCAATTTGGAAAATCACTATTATGTTGAGTTGAATTGAGCATATAGACTGGGGATTTTCCTTCTTTTGCACATTCATTAATTACACTTCTTTCCCCTGAAGTTTCACTTGATTCTGCACTTTGGTCCTTAAGGTTCTTTTTTCCCCAATTTCATTCTTCTACTTTCAACATGTTTCAATTCAATTCAATCCAATCAGTGACTTGTATCAAGTCGATGATGGCATGTGTGCGTCACATGATGCACACGTCTTTCTGTGATAAATTAACTACCTTTATTGATTGGGCCGAATCAATATCATGTCAAAAGTTAGAGGAGGAAATTTAGAAAAAAAAAAAAAGTTGTAAGGTCCGTAGTGAAAATCAATGCACAAGCTGAGTGTGAAAACAACTATAATTAACCATTTTTTTTCATCTACTATATTATCCTAGCAGAAAGTATACAATACATGGATTCTGACATGCAATGATTTTAGTGGTGCTAGCAGTGAACCTTGACCTTCCTTAATGTTGTACAAGTTATGCAGCCATGATCCAAATTATTAGGTTGCTTAAATCTTTTATATTAAATGGAAAAGTGAATTAAAAAAATAATAAGCAAACACGAAAAACGATTGGACTTTAAAAGTTACTAAATTTCACACAAAAGATGATGTAAATACCAAAAAAAAAAGTGAAAAGCGGTGATAAATGGTATGGTATCAATTTATTTTTGGTATCATAGTCAAACCCTACAATGAGAAGAAAAGCTTTGGGAGCACTGTCAAGAATCTGTGGGCATGAAGGTAAAAATTATGTATTTTAGTTATGTACCATCTTTTAGGTGAATCTTATTTTAAATAAATAATTTGTACATACATGTGCAAAATGATATTATTGTACTTATGATTAAGCTTAGAGGAAGGAATCAAGTCCATACCAAGAAAAAAAAACACAAAAAGGTAAAAATGCAAAAACAATCACTTTCCATTACTCAATAGGCCAATTCTTCGCACATAATTAAAGGAGTCATTGAAAGGTGACTAAAACACTAAAAACAGAGACCATCCGAGTTAATGATAAAGGCAAAAACACTTTTCAATCAGTCCTTTCTATAACCAACCTCACATATTCAACTCAATCTTTTATACCGATATATCGTACTTTCTCGATAAGGTTATCGTAAGAAAATATTGTTAAATCTTTTTCAAAGTGAGAGAAGGCGCGATACAACTAACATGACAGCCAGCTGAAAAACGTTAGTCAGCTAGGCTAGCACGCAATGACTTTTTATGATAGGGGCTCACTTCTTCAAGCTCCGCCCAACCTATACAAGATAAGGTGTTGCTCGCTTTCTCTCAGCCACTAGTGGCTTATGTAGTGGTTGGCATTTACTACTTTTCTAGTTACTAGCAATGCATCACATGCGTTGCACGTAAATAATTTTTGTATGCAAAATATTAATATTATGTATATGTGGCTTATCCAGTTTCAAAGGGGTGTTTGAGAGAGAGAAAAAGGGAAAGAAAAAGAGAGAAGATAAAAGGTTTTCAAACTGGTTGGGGAGAAAGAAGCTAAAAAGTTTTTCAACTAGTTTGTATGGCGATCGAAGGATTTTATATTCGTTTTCTGAGAAAGAGAACTTGTTCAAAAACAATATTAAACANCGTTGCACGTAAATAATTTTTGTATGCAAAATATTAATATTATGTATATGTGGCTTATCCAGTTTCAAAGGGGTGTTTGAGAGAGAGAAAAAGGGAAAGAAAAAGAGAGAAGATAAAAGGTTTTCAAACTGGATGGGGAGAAAGAAGCTAAAAAGTTTTTCAACTAGTTTGTATGGCAATCGAAGGATTTTATATTCGTTTTCTGAGAGAGAGAACTTGTTCAAAAACAATATTAAATAAAAGAAGATTAAGAGACAAAATGATATCGTTGTCCACTTAGTTTTTCTAATGACAGACAATCATTTAGTGGAGAATAGAAAAATGTGGGAAAGTATATTACTATGTTATAAATCATAGTTACTATATAGTGGAAAAGTCATGACTATCTGTCTACCTAATTTTCTTAATTGTAAATAATAATTAATATTAATGTACATATTATTCTGAATTTTTTATCTGATTTGTACTTATAATTGTGATTTATAGTTGTCTTATTATATAGTTCCTAATTGAAATCTATGATTTTTGGTCCCTGAAATATTCAATTATTGTCTAAATAGTCTCTAACCTGACGGTCCATTAAGTTTTTTAAAAGAAGTAACTACGTGTTATTCCGTCAGACAGCATCACATAACTAGTACGTGATCACTTTGTCAAAAATTTAACAAGCGGTCCGTATTTGGATCATTTAAACATTAACTAAAGACTTTAATGACCAAATTGATACAATAAAGACCAAACTGTCAAAGCATACATATTTTAGGGACTAAAAATGTTATTAACCCTAAATTATAATATATTACTCTATAATATATATTTTAAAAGAATATTAATATTTTAATATTTAAGTTTTACTTAAAAATACACTACAATTTTTTTTATATAAACTCTTAATAAAGCATAAAAATGCTACATTGATTGAAGAATTATGTTGATTTAACATAAATTATTTTTAAAAATACATAAAAGATTATTTTTTTATCTTAAAAATAAAATGGTTGAAATTTTGGATGAAAAAATACACATATGTAAGTATAATGTTATCTTTATATTTGAAAAGAGTAATATTATTGATAAGCCCAAAAGTAACTGAGCTAGGCCCAATAAATCAATAGAGGTCCACATCACCTCAGAACCTAAGTCAACAAGTCAAGGAAGAATCCAAATTAAGGAGAAGCAAAGGTCCAAGGGAGACACCCTGAAAGGGACACCCTAAGGGGCGCCACCCAAGGGGAGCTACCTAAAGGACGCCGCCCAAGGGAGGCCACCCCAAGAANTTTTTTATCTGATTTGTACTTATAATTGTGATTTATAGTTGTCTTATTATATAGTTCCTAATTGAAATCTATGATTTTTGGTCCCTGAAATATTCAATTATTGTCTAAATAGTCTCTAACCTGACGGTCCATTAAGTTTTTTAAAAGAAGTAACTACGTGTTATTCCGTCAGACAGCATCACATAACTAGTACGTGATCACTTTGTCAAAAATTTAACAAGCGGTCCGTATTTGGATCATTTAAACATTAACTAAAGACTTTAATGACCAAATTGATACAATAAAGACCAAACTGTCAAAGCATACATATTTTAGGGACTAAAAATGTTATTAACCCTAAATTATAATATATTACTCTATAATATATATTTTAAAAGAATATTAATATTTTAATATTTAAGTTTTACTTAAAAATACACTACAATTTTTTTTATATAAACTCTTAATAAAGCATAAAAATGCTACATTGATTGAAGAATTATGTTGATTTAACATAAATTATTTTTAAAAATACATAAAAGATTATTTTTTTATCTTAAAAATAAAATGGTTGAAATTTTGGATGAAAAAATACACATATGTAAGTATAATGTTATCTTTATATTTGAAAAGAGTAATATTATTGATAAGCCCAAAAGTAACTGAGCTAGGCCCAATAAATCAATAGAGGTCCACATCACCTCAGAACCTAAGTCAACAAGTCAAGGAAGAATCCAAATTAAGGAGAAGCAAAGGTCCAAGGGAGACACCCTGAAAGGGACACCCTAAGGGGCGCCACCCAAGGGGAGCTACCTAAAGGACGCCGCCCAAGGGAGGCCACCCCAAGAAGATCATCTCCCTCCTTTATCCCATGCTCTCTCTTTTGTGCAATCTCATGGAGTACTTCGCCCTCGTGACTCTGTGACTCTAACTCAAGTCCAACCTAGCTCAGGATCTTCTTCCGACGAAATAAGAACACGAGAGAGGGAATATCGAGATACAATCGGAGATCTAATCTTACCTTATTTGTACTTACCAAAATAGTAGAAGTCCTCTCCCTCACGTCACCGCATCACCACCTTGTCAAAGCCTATTTAATGAAAGATATCTCCACATAAAGGGCATCACCTAAAAACCTCTACACACCTCTCTATACACATTGCTTTTTTCTCTCAAAACATTGTAATTCTTCCGAAAAATACTCTCCCGGTAACTTTTATTCATTAATAAAGATCTTCGGCCACCTCTACCGTTTCTCAAAGTAGAGTAGGTCATCCGAACCGAATCACTATATATCTTGGTGTTGACTTATTATTCACTGTGTTGTCATTCATTATCTGTTTACTGCTTATTAATTGCACCCTTACATATACTCAATTGTTGATTTTGTACAATACCGATTTGTGCATCATCAATTATATTGATGAAAATTTTGAAAATTTTTTGAATGTTGTATTGAAAATTATAGTAATGCATATATTTTTTAAAAGTAATGTAGTCAATTAAAAAGTTTCATAGATACTGATATTTATACATAATAAATAGATAATTAAAAGAGATGTTAGGGATAATTTGGAGATTGAAACACATAAATATATGATGGTAATTTAGATATTCAACTATAGAATGATAGTGTGATTTTTATAATTTTTTAATAGTGAATTAAAAATTTTTCATCCTAAGGCAAAAGTTTTATTCTTTAATTGTAGTATAGATAGAAAAAATACGTATATATATAATGTTATCATATTTGAAAAGAGTAATAAAATATTGATGGAGGTTTTGAGCACTTTATTGAAATCTATAATGATGCATATGTTTTTTTGAGGATAACGAAGTTAATTAAAAATTTTCACATATATTGATATTTATATAAAGATAATAGAGAATTAAAAGAGATGTTAGAGGGTAATTTGAAAATTTTAATACATAAGGATGTAATTGTAATTTAGATATTTGATTATAAAAAGATAATATGATATTTAAAATTGTTTATGAGGGTAAAATAGTAAATCAAATTCTTTTTACTTAAGGTGCTTTTATTAGTAATATAAATTATAAACGAGATGATATATCAAGTAAAATTAGTTTGTTCGACTAAATAAAACAGATGTCCAGTTTTTCAACTTTGGACATGGTCTAGAGTCGAGTCCAGTCAATTGTATAGTCGCTCTCCTGCATTCTCTTTACGAATATGTTAGATCCATCATTGTGTATACTCTTTAAAAAAAATCGTTGTATATTAAAAAATAAAAAATAGGGGATGCATTCGGTACTAAAAAAAAAAAAATCAATTTTGCCATATGATAGAGCACTGAGGTCATGCAATTGGGCTTCTTATTTTCTGAAATAGTCTTTTCGGTAAACTAAGTTGGCTAACCCAAGAAAAAAAAATCATTTCTTTTAAAAACTATTCATTGTTGTTATTAATAATACAACACTATTTAATTATTCTTATTATTTTTGTTATTGAATGAAAATTGTACCATCAAATATGTTATTTTATTATATTTAATAATTGATTAATTATATATTATTTATGATTAAATATTTAGATTCTTTCATTTTTTAATTTGATATTTTTTTCTATTTGTTTGATTTATTTTAAATAATAATACATAAGATAAGTGAAACAAACATCATAGGAAGGATCATAGTTGATAAACAGATATTTGATAAAGATTGAATAGTCAAGATTAAGATATGAATATTTGAAAATAAGACATCAATATAATCCTTATGAGAGTCCAAGTTAGTAGAAACTCATTTAGAGTTGGATTAGGAATGTATTCTAGAAGATATTGATACATCCCCAATATTTTGGTCATAATTTTTTATTTTGATGTCCAATTTACCTGATTTTTGCAGACATTTCAAGAGTTAAAAAAATATATTTTATAAAAATTTCATAAATCAAGTTCTAACTATGCGAAAATTGAGCTTACAATTTGGGTAGGGACGATACTCGTGCAGCCCAAAATTTGATTTTTGAAGAAAAACTAGATAGTATAATTATATACTAATTATAATTTTTTAAGAAAAAATAGATTTTTATTTTAATAAATGTCATAATAGAATATAAATTTTAGTTGTAAAATTTAAAATATTTAATATTCTTCATTTGATTGAAGTATTTTTTGTCTAAGTATAACATTTTAAACTTAAAGAGTCTAAATATTACATACCTATAAACTTCAAGGGGTCTAGGTATAATTCACTAACGGACATTGACAATAAAGATCTAAGTGTTATGCTTATACAAATATCAGGGAATCTGTATATAATATTTCAAGTCAAGGGGTCTACGTATAATTCTCCTTAATTTTTTACTCTGATCTCCTAATTTTTGTGGCATTGGAAATAATACTTCAAGAACTATAAAAATATATTTCACCAAAATTTCATAAATCAACCTCTAGCTATGTGAAAAATGAGCACAATTTGGGCAGATACGTTACTCGCGCGCTCCAAGATTTGATGCATGCATTTTGATCTAAATGAATAATGCTAGAGTGATCAAATTTTGTGACCAAATTTAGAGTATAAATCACATGACAATTGATTTGGACTTCTTTGTTTGGTGTCATGTCATTTGGACCCTAATAAAAATTTCAAATAATCAACTGTCATGTCATTTAGACTTTAAATTTAATCCTAAAATTTGGTCAATCTAGGATTACACTTCGCAAATACTTGTTCAAAGGCCAATCCTAACGTCCGTAGCATAAATATAGGTTCTTTCTTTGAGAGGGGGATAACTTCAGATCTTATATTCTATATTTTTCTTTATTTTTTTTTAATGTCTATGAATTGCTAAATCCAACTAAAAATAGGGGGAGATACTTTTAATAAAGTATGATATTAAATGCCTCTCACATCTAATGCTTGAAATTTCATGCGATTCAAATAATTGATTTTATATTATTTAATTAGACTTTTTATAAAATAGTTGATTTCTTATTTGTGATATAAATTTATGGTTTATTTGTTGGAAAGTTAAATTTATAGTAAACTCTGAACACGGTAAATTTTTGTGACCTATAAGTAAATTTTAATATTTATTCAAATGATTTATGAATTATACTTTTGAATGTTTTCAATATTATCACTATTAAATATTATGATTAGAATTACTACTTAGTAAAATATTAATTGAGTTTGAAAACTGAATTATAAATAATTGTCATGTGAAATTAAAAGGTATTCTTGATCTTTTAGTATTTTTTCATATTATTTTAAAACTAAAATTTGTTATTTTCAAACTCAACTTTGTCGAATAATTTCAAATAAATTTTATTATTATTTTTCTTTGCATTCCAAATATTCATAATATTCTGTGGTTCAATCCCAGACTTCAAAAAAAATTATATTATTTCGCAATAACCCGCACTTAATGAATTATAAAGTTATAGCATCAAGAAAGGTAATGTATCCACATCACCAAGTTACTTAAACGACACCGTATGATGCCAAGGGTTCTTTCATCAACGTTAGAAAAAGACTTATCCTCTGCAGTTATAAAACCTTTAGCTGGTACAGTGAGTGGAAGCTATGGTGTCCTATTCTTCCAGAATCTTCACCAGAACTTTCCCCAAGTCCACAGCGTTCGGCCTCACACGAACGCTTTCTCCCTTCTCCACCGGTTCTCGACTTAATCAAATTCGTTCCATGTCGGATTCTACCCAGTTCAAGAAAATTCAGATTCAGAGAGACGACAATGTGAGTCTAATTTGTTCTTCCCTTTCATTTCTCATCTTTTGCTTCTTTTCTGTTCTTATTCAAGCTTACCGCATGTGATTTGTTGTTATTTTCGAGATAATGAGACAACGGCGTCATGGGTTTGTTTTGATTGTCTATTGGAGAGAGTTTTAAGAGAGAGAGAATCTGTGACACTGTGCGTGTGTGTGTGATTAGATTTTGGAGAGAGAGACTGTACTATGATTAAAAAGAAGCTCTTGGTCCAAGAATATGGCCCAAACAGAACCATATATACTTTTGAATTTGATTAGAAATGCGTTGCTTATGGCCTACTCCAAGAATTGGCCTAATCAGTTAGCAATTTGTTTTTGGTCACTCAGTTAGCAAAATTAAAAAATGTGATATAATGTTGTCAATAGTGAGCTTTAATTGCAGCTAAACTATATTAAGATATGATGATATGATCCAACGGATCTATCATCATATCTTAAAAAACTAAATTTCGGGGATGTCTAATTGGAGAAATAAGGGGAAGTGTGGATGAAGGATGCATTCTTTTCCATTTCACATGAATAAATATGATATCTTGAAATCTAGTGACAGAAAACAAGAGTGTAAAGGCAGGGGACACGAAGAAATGTAAGATTTTTGCCCTGGCGGTTGAAAGGATCGGTGTGTGTTGGCTGATGGCACTCGCTCCTATGAGTGTATTTCCATCTTCAACTCAAAAGTGGATCATAAAATTGTATTTTTTTTAAAAAAGGTCATGTATGAAGAACACAATGGGAGATCAGTTATCAAGACTGCATTCCACTGGGACCACTCCAAACTGGCCATAAAATTTACACACTATCTCTTGAGCATCCTTGGTGGGATGAATAATTTTCATTAATCCACTATCTTGTTGAAAAATGGTGTGACACCAACTGCACCTTTTTGTATGAGATATTTCATGGAAATCAAAAGAATGTTAACATTTTATTTATTTATTTTGGGGGTGTGGGTGGGATCAACCAGACATTTGATGCATACGTTGTTGGCAAAGAAAATGCCCCTGGCATTGTTGTGCTTCAGGAGTGGTGGGGTGTTGATTTCGAGGTCAAGAATCACGCTTTGAAAATTTCCCAGTTTGATCCTGGCTATAAAGCACTTATACCTGAGTAAGATATCATTACTTGCTACACATTGAATTGGACATCTTTTGGACTTACAGATTAATGGTAACAGTTTTGGCTGTTTTGATTTTTTCTTTTTACTTTCAGCTTGTATCGTGGAAAGGTTGGTTTAGATGTTGCAGAAGCACAGCATTTGATGGATGGTCTTGACTGGCAAGGTGCTGTGAAGGACATTCAGGCTTCAGTTAACTGGCTCAAGGCTAATGGTTCACAGAAGGTGGATTTTTTTTGTGTGTGGTGATGTATTTCCCACTTGTTGCCGTGGACATGTTAACTCATAAGAAGTTTGAACATGTTGACTAGATTACTCTGTTCTACAAACGAATTTTATCAAACCAAGTTTTCTTGTATGACGCGTCAATTTGCTTTCAAGTTCGAATAATAATAGACCTTGTATTTACTTCAATATGGATGCCTTCATGATGCTGCTTTTAACCTCATTTTGGTTATTTCTTAATCTTCTATTGTCTTTTATTTTTATTTCTTGGTATTTTGAGTTATTTTTCTTATATATTCTTGAGATTTGAATTTTTATATCTTGAGGTTTACCTCTCATGGAGAAACAAAGTGCAAGCTCTTTGCCTGTTGCATTTTAAATTTTGCACTGCTTCATTTGTAGATCATAGCTTTGACTTTTTGAAGGCATAGTCGACAAATTAGCAAGGTCGGAAGAATAAACTATGTTACAATTTTTAGTGCGTTATTTTCCAGTCAAATTCAATTTTATTTAATGGTTAATTCTAGCAAGCTTACATGTTAATGCAAAGCCCTTACAGCACAAATAGAAGTAAGGTGATCTCTTAGAATTTTAACCTCTTTACTTTCTTTCTTTATCAAATACTTCAACAAATAATTCCATGCTTGACATAAGGGTACATTGATAAAGTGTTAAGAGTTATAAATGACTTGGTTTTGGCCATTCATTGTCTTATAATACATGTACCTTTGTTCAAACAGGTGGGTGTTACAGGATTCTGCATGGGTGGTGCTCTCGCCATTGCAAGTTCTGTTTTGGTTCCTGGGGTTGACGCTGTTGCAGCCTTCTATGGAGTTCCTTCATCAGAGCTTGCAGATCCTACCCATGCTAAGGCACCTGTGCAGGCCCAGTTTGGGGAGCGTGATAATTTTGTAGGCTTTTCAGATGTGAAGGTATTAGTTGAATAATTCTTGTTAACTTTCAGTATCACTATTAAAATTGTCTTTCATCATGTTGCATTATATTTTTTGTCTCTTAATTTCCTTGGCTTTTGTCATTTGAGATGCCCATAGCTAAGAATTATGATAATGTGTGGTTATGCCACAAACTGCATACGAAGTGGCCCTTGTTTTAATAGCAAATCGGATAGTCTCGGAATGATATGAGAAAGTTGTGAGCATTGTTTGGAGATCTAAGTTCACAAGTAGGGAAACACAGTCTCAAGGTCGAAGGTGAGTTGGCCGATATTGATATGAGTCGGCCGAGTGGTATCGATTCAGCACTTTTTGAGACGATACCGTCACACAATACGTATAAATTTCGAGTCATGCACGACTTGGCCGAGTCATCCGAGTTAATCCTGAGTTGCCGAGTTATCATTACCGATAGGAGCGGAGCGACCCTGGGACCAAGGTGGGCACGTGCCCCCCTTAATTTTTTTTTTTTTTGATATTAGATATATATTTTTTAAAATAAAATTTAGATATATTTAATTGTGTCTACCCTCAATTTTTTTTTACATTAGATATATATTTTTTAAAATAAAATTTAGACATATTTAATTGTGCCTACCTTATTATTGTGTTATTGTGATATATCGCTACTTAAATAATAATTAATTTTTAAATAATGTTATTGGAACTAATACATTGTGATATTAAATATAATAGTGAGTCTCTACATTTAATAACGTTTACTATCCATCTAATGATCACAAACCATTGTGCTCCTATCAATTAAATTTTGAATTAGATGCAACTACTATTATTCTTAAATTTTTAGACACATTNAATAACGTTTACTATCCATCTAATGATCACAAACCATTGTGCTCCTATCAATTAAAATTTGAATTAGATGCAACTACTATTATTCTTAAATTTTTAGACACATTTTGGACATGTTCGAATAATTTTTAGACATATCACGGTTATTTTTTCTAAATTATAGGATTATTTTGTTATTGTATAGAAATGAGCACCATTATGTAATAAATTATAGGGTAATAAATGAAAGACTGTTATTACCATTTTGTATATAGATAAAAAAGTATTTATTGATATCATTGATTTGTAATTCTTTTAAATGATAAACAATAATCAGATTCAATTGTAAAATGATAATAATTAGTCTCATACGAAGTTTTAATTAATTTACTTCTATTTTTTGTTTGTTCATTCCATGCAAATTATTTTTAAAATTTTTATGTTTAATGAATTTTTACGTATAATTATAGTAAATATGAATTTATGAACTTTTGTGGTCAATTGAAAAAAAAAATGAAAAATGTTATTTAGNAAAAAAAAATGAAAAATATTATTTAGATCTAATTTGATTGAAAGTAGATTTCATCTAACATTGAAATTTACAACTAAAACAACAATTACATTAAATTAAGTCTACAATATTGATAAAAAAAATTAAAATTTATTATTGTGCCCACCTTAAGAGGATATTGGGATCTTTCTTTCTTTAATTTCTTAGGCAGGTAGTATGTAACTGTTGTTTGAATCTTCGTAGTCAGGCATATATTTTACGAAATTTATTTATATATTTTCCTTTGTTTTATTTTTTAGCAATAGATATAAAAAATATAAATATAAATATCAATATTATTTTAAATTATTGATATAATTATTGATACATTCTGGCTAGCAACGGCTCAAATGGACGGATAGCTCTCTATTAGCTAGCAATGCCAACTATTCGTCTTTAGTTAGAGTTAGACATAAGGGGGGTGTCGTTTGCCCCACCACGCTTGAGGAAAATTCAATAAAAAACATGGATGAAGAAAAAGTACATAAAGGGTTAGAAAGAAAAACTTGGTTACAGAACCGAAGGTTAGGCTGGCTGATAGGAAGCCAGAGAGAAGGAACAAAGAAAGGGTGCTCCTCCGGCAATGAATACTGGCATAGTGAAATTAATTAAATGTCCANAAAGTGCAAGCTCTTTGCCTGTTGCATTTTAAATTTTGCACTGCTTCATTTGTAGATCATAGCTTTGACTTTTTGAAGGCATAGTCGACAAATTAGCAAGGTCGGAAGAATAAACTATGTTACAATTTTTAGTGCGTTATTTTCCAGTCAAATTCAATTTTATTTAATGGTTAATTCTAGCAAGCTTACATGTTAATGCAAAGCCCTTACAGCACAAATAGAAGTAAGGTGATCTCTTAGAATTTTAACCTCTTTACTTTCTTTCTTTATCAAATACTTCAACAAATAATTCCATGCTTGACATAAGGGTACATTGATAAAGTGTTAAGAGTTATAAATGACTTGGTTTTGGCCATTCATTGTCTTATAATACATGTACCTTTGTTCAAACAGGTGGGTGTTACAGGATTCTGCATGGGTGGTGCTCTCGCCATTGCAAGTTCTGTTTTGGTTCCTGGGGTTGACGCTGTTGCAGCCTTCTATGGAGTTCCTTCATCAGAGCTTGCAGATCCTACCCATGCTAAGGCACCTGTGCAGGCCCAGTTTGGGGAGCGTGATAATTTTGTAGGCTTTTCAGATGTGAAGGTATTAGTTGAATAATTCTTGTTAACTTTCAGTATCACTATTAAAATTGTCTTTCATCATGTTGCATTATATTTTTTGTCTCTTAATTTCCTTGGCTTTTGTCATTTGAGATGCCCATAGCTAAGAATTATGATAATGTGTGGTTATGCCACAAACTGCATACGAAGTGGCCCTTGTTTTAATAGCAAATCGGATAGTCTCGGAATGATATGAGAAAGTTGTGAGCATTGTTTGGAGATCTAAGTTCACAAGTAGGGAAACACAGTCTCAAGGTCGAAGGTGAGTTGGCCGATATTGATATGAGTCGGCCGAGTGGTATCGATTCAGCACTTTTTGAGACGATACCGTCACACAATACGTATAAATTTCGAGTCATGCACGACTTGGCCGAGTCATCCGAGTTAATCCTGAGTTGCCGAGTTATCATTACCGATAGGAGCGGAGCGACCCTGGGACCAAGGTGGGCACGTGCCCCCCTTAATTTTATTTTTTTTGATATTAGATATATATTTTTTAAAATAAAATTTAGATATATTTAATTGTGTCTACCCTCAATTTTTTTTTACATTAGATATATATTTTTTAAAATAAAATTTAGACATATTTAATTGTGCCTACCTTATTATTGTGTTATTGTGATATATCGCTACTTAAATAATAATTAATTTTTAAATAATGTTATTGGAACTAATACATTGTGATATTAAATATAATAGTGAGTCTCTACATTTAATAACGTTTACTATCCATCTAATGATCACAAACCATTGTGCTCCTATCAATTAAAATTTGAATTAGATGCAACTACTATTATTCTTAAATTTTTAGACACATTTTGGACATGTTCGAATAATTTTTAGACATATCACGGTTATTTTTTCTAAATTATAGGATTATTTTGTTATTGTATAGAAATGAGCACCATTATGTAATAAATTATAGGGTAATAAATGAAAGACTGTTATTACCATTTTGTATATAGATAAAAAAGTATTTATTGATATCATTGATTTGTAATTCTTTTAAATGATAAACAATAATCAGATTCAATTGTAAAATGATAATAATTAGTCTCATACGAAGTTTTAATTAATTTACTTCTATTTTTTGTTTGTTCATTCCATGCAAATTATTTTTAAAATTTTTATGTTTAATGAATTTTTACGTATAATTATAGTAAATATGAATTTATGAACTTTTGTGGTCAATTGAAAAAAAAAATGAAAAATGTTATTTAGATCTAATTTGATGACATAATTTAATGCACCATTTTGATTAAAAATAAACTCCATCTAACATTGAAATTTACAACTATAATAACAGTTATATTGAATTAAGTCTCTATAAAATTGATAAAAAAAAATTAAAATTTATTAATGTGCGCACCTTAAAGTATTTTTCTGGTTCCGCCCCTTATCATCGAATTGGCCTATACAGTTCTGCGATGCCGACCTGAATCTCTTGTCAATTTTAATATTTTTTTTAGGTCGTATCGCCAGATACGACGTCATGATACCGCGATCGATGTGTCTCAGCGACCTTGAACCATGAGAGTGACAGAGATTCCTTGTTTGAAAGCAACAGGAAAAACAAAAAAACTGTTGCATGTTGCTGCAAATATAACTTTATAATCTTGATATGAAATTGAGCTATGGTGTACGAAATTTAGTCTTGTAATTTTGGCACCATTCTCCAAATTTTGGCATGAATCACTTTTTCCTCTTTATGCAGCAGCCAGATAAAATCCATGTATGTACCTTCCATAAAAAAAAGAAGCTAAAATCCATGTAATCTATTTGTGATGTAAAATCGCTTCTTGGGAGTGTTAACCTAGCCAACCATGGCTTGCAATCTTCGTTGTGTGGTTAAAAATGGTGGCTGAATTCAAGGAAGGTTCTTATGATGTAGAATATATGCTAGTTTAATCACCAAGATTGAAATTGACCTTGATATATATATGTTTAAGTTGATAGAACAGAATGTATGCGATAAGTGAATGAATTGGTCTGTAAATAAAGGAAGCTCTGCCAAGTACTTCATTCAAGTCGGTATATGCAATTATGCATGCATGTTTGTGTATTGATTTGGCTGTCAAACTTTGGCATTTCAGACTGCCAAAGCTTTCGAGGAAAAGCTGAAGGTATCAGGGGTTCCTTATGAGGTATGCCTGTATCCGGAGGCTGGACATGCCTTTATGAACAAATCTCCTGAAGGTGTTAAGAGGAGAAAAGGTATGGGAATGGATGACGTGGATGACGCTGTGGTCGAGTTAGCATGGTCTCGCTTCCGTTCATGGATGAGTCGCTTCTTATCTTCTTAAGCAGTATGTATACTGCCATCACATGTTAGCTTGATATAATAAGATGGCATGGTAATTGGAGACACTGGATGGCTGCACTATGCTATGCTATTGTTATACTTTTAGTATGTGTGGATGCAACTTGGAAAATCACTATTTTGTGATGAGATCGCTGATATAAGCTTAATTTGATAGACTGGTAATCTTTCATCTTTTGCACATTGATTAATTACACTTTTTCCCATGAAATTCCCCCTGATTCCCCACTTTGGTCCTTAAGGTTCTTTTTTCCCCAGTTTCATTCTTCTACTGTCATCATATGTCAATTCAGTCTAATCAGTGACTTCTATCAAGTCCTTAATGTTGCACAAGTTATGACGCCTGTTGATTTGTGCTTTCATTTAGATTAGATTTTGTGGGTAGCAACATTTTTTGCAAAGCTTGTAACTTTTGATTCAGTCATCTCTTAAAGACTTTCCAATTGAAGTTTAGGTGACAGCAATGCGGCCTTGTTTCCCTTATAATGAGAAGGAAAAAGCCGTGGGCACTGTCAAGAATCTGTGGGCATGGAGGGGAAAACTATGTATTTTAGGTACAATGTGGCAAAAGTTACTTAAAAAAAAAAAATCAAATTTTCCATATTTTAGAGGGCTGAGGTCATGCTCATGCAGTTGGGCTTCTTAATTTCTGAAATTAGTCTTTTTGGTACAACTAAGTTGGCTAACCCAAGAAAAAAAAAAGTCAGTTTTTTCTAATACAATACTATTTAATTAATCGTATTATTCTTGTCATTGAGTGGAAATCAAGTCTTTTTCCTGAATTGTCTTAGTCACTTGAAATTGGAAGTCATAGACTTTCATCCCTGCATGTCACATTAATCCTCAATCCTTAGGAGATAAGCAACAACAAAGTGCTTGAGTCTATCCAGAGCAATACCCGTTTCCATCATTCTTTTGTTGTTGTTTGTTTGTTTCCTGGTTTAACATTGTCAATTTGGGGTGTAGTGTTGTGGAAATTAGATGGCTAATGGATCGTGTAATGTTGAACATTTTTCTTGCATAAGCGAGAGGGACAAATCCAAAAATTAGGTGTGTTGGGAGGACGAACAAAGTCTAGGGCCGGCCTAGGCATAGACCGTTGTCTAGGGCTCCTAAATAAATACAAATATTTGGGGCCCTAAAACTTTTTTAAGATTATTGAAGAAAAAGTTAAAGAGTCCCTAATTTAAGCAATTTTGAATATAATATACGAATCAATGAGAAATTTTCATGAAACTAATGAGTTGGGGTATGACTTTAGTAGATTTTGGACAATAAATAGATGAATTATTCAGCCCCACAACTAGTCGACTCAAAGCTAGCTAAACGCGACCAAAATTCATTAAATACCACCTACATACAATATAAACTTAATTTTGCAGGATTATAAGTGAGATAGACATATGTTGAGGAAATTCTAACATGACACAATAGATGATTGTTTTTATATTACCTTTATTCTTTTAGTCTTATGTATTTTATATAAATACTAAAAAAATGAATTATCTTATCTTATCACACACTACTTTTGATTTATTACAAAAAAAAAAAAAAAATCAATTACTTGATTAATCATCTCAAGCCAAAATTTTCAAAATCCAAACATGGATCGAAAACACATCCTAAAACCCCACGCTTTTATCTCCTTTATCTAAGATTGAAATTCACCCCAATACATTTTTTTCTTAATTTTAATTTTGAAGGATCGTCTATCATTTTTTTTTCTAATTTTATTATCATGCATTTAAATTTTTTTTGGGGGGGTGGGGGAGAGGGAAAGAGGTCTTGAACCCTTGACTTCAAGAAAGCAAAATTTTTATAAGGTAAAGAATAAAATTAGATCAATATGTCTATCATTAATAAGTGAGCTGAGACCTACTTATATATGTAATGGGTCCCATTTAAAATACATATTATCAAAAAGGAAATTAATTTATATATTAAAAATGATCTCACTTCTTTTCTCCTCCAACCAAACACACCCCAATATTTTGTTTAGGGGTGCTTGGACATTTATTAAAAGGATTTTAAAGATAAAAAGACTGACTGCCATATCTTTACCTAATGTGAAGGCAAAAGCTGCATGACCTAGGGATACTAACTTGTATGAATTGAGAACTATTTGAGATTCTTTTAATGAAGCAGATGGTCCAACTGGTCCCTTAATTGGACTGCGGACAAGATTTAGAATTTGGTCCAATCTCCCTTTAACCAGAAAGCAAAATCAAATGGTCCACGTCTCTTGAAGTTTTAAGTTACCATAGCGAGTCAGTTCGTTAAGAGTTTAGATATGTGTATATAAATTCTTGAACATTTTTTTCGTATGAACCTATAATTCTGTGTGGTTGAGTCACGAAATGACTACTTAATTATTGGTTGAATTAAAAGGTATTTGTGTTACGTATGAGCATAGGATTAAGTTATTGAATACTAATAGATGGATAGAGGTTCAAAAGCAATAAAGCTTATGTTGGGTCAATGTCGATAGAGCGGGCGACTGTAGACGTAAGCTATAAAAGCGTCGTGATATATTACTGTCCCCCCCTATCAGCTTGCTCAGCTTGATTCTCTTTCTGTTGTTAGATTCGATATGCATATTCAACACTCATACTTAACAATAAACTTAAAGATTTTTTTTTTGGAAACGGGAAAATTCCACGATCTGTCCTCAGTAAGTAAAGGTGCACTTATGTTGCTCAGGCTCGTAACTGTGAGTAGAACTAAGGGAAAACTCAGGTGTATGAACCGGTCCCTCAACTCATACACCAGTTCAATCAGGATTTCCGTTTCACCGGGGACTCGAGACTCACACTAGAGATTTGGATACGGTTCGTCTAAACAACTAAGATTTTGTCCTACTAAACAGTCATGTTTTTGCGCCCAAGGGACTTTGAACCCCTAACTCCCACTGGGAAGCCAGAGCCTCTGGTCTGTTGGTTCAATAAACTTAAAGATAAATAGTGAGTTCTTACATATAACACATTAAAACACTTTCACCACTTTTCTATTCAACATGGGATTTCCAACATATAAAATAACCCAAGAGTACTTTGCCCACCTAATGGTTGGCAGGGCTTAGGTAGAGTAACACAAATGTTTTAGAGCATCCGTTGGAATTGACTGTAGTGGAAAAAGAAAAAATGAAGTCTCTCTTCAAACCCATAAGAAAGTGGTTGGAATGCCAAAACTAGTCGACATGGAAGAAAGTTGACCAGAGAAACGTACCTGCAGGAGTAAAGATGCTACATAAAAATGCATTCACATTTTGTTTAAACGTTAGGTGTTTACCTTGACAACTTTTCTGCCAACCCCCCAACCTTCTTTTTTTTTTTTTAAGGGATAGTCGCGAGGCGAGGTGATGACCAAGTGTAATATTGTCTCTCTTTTGGTGTTTTTTTTTTTATTTTTTTTTATGATAGGGTGTTCAGACTTACGTTGATTACTCTGAGATTGGTCATTATAACTCGATCTAATTATAAAAATATGTCCCCTAAAGAATAAAAGTGGCTGACTTTTAGAGGAGATGGGAAGTTTGCTTTTCTAGTTGTGGTGTAAATTTTTGAAATATATTAATGATACACTGGGCAATATTAGAAAAGAATTTAAGGGTAAAGGGTCTAAGTGTCTCAAATTTATCATTGATGTAGCTTTCTTTAAAGTGCAATGTTCTTGTTGAAAAACTTTCAATTCCCTCGAAACTCATGCATGCATATTATTACGTTGTGAGTTATTCGCACTAATGTTAATGAGACATAATTTAGAAATTTAATGTATTATGCCCATGAGACATTTAATGTTAGAATTCAGTGACAATTTAATGAGCACAATCACTAAACTCTCAAATTATGTTTTAATAACATTGCTCGAATTACCTGCTATGTATGTTTGATAAATACTATTCACACATACACGTTTAGGTAAATTATATCTAATCTCTCTTATAGTTTTAGTCGGAAATACGTTACCACCTATATTCTGAAAACCTATACACTACCTCATAATTATGGACTAAAGTATAACGATTAGCAGAGTTATGATTTAATGTAAAAAGTCAATAATACCCTTCCTTTTTAAAAAAAATAATTTTTTGCTTCCTAAAATATCTGTACAAATAGGACAATTTACTTAATTTATAGAGACCGAAAAAGAAAGAGAGAGATTGATTAATTTAGAGAGAAAAAAGAAACTAAAATTCATTAATTATTAGGGTACAAAAGCCATTTTGGTATGTTATTTAATTAAAAAATATGGACTTTTAACAAATTCAGTTTAATCCAAAACCATAGATAATTATGTACAGGTACTTAAACAATAGAGAGATAATATGTTAATGGGTCAAACCACCGATAGATAATCAATTAATTTGCCTTACAATTAATCACACGTAAATTATAAAATCGTATAATTACATGTAAATCACATGTTTCGAGTAAAACACAATTGGGAGTTGAATTTGAGATTTTCTGATAATAGTGCATGTGAAATATAATATTTAAATTCAGACGTTTTCAGTTTGAATTTTGATAATTTTTTAAGATCACACTGTGAGGAATTTTATGTAATGACTATCCTAATTCCAGTTTAAATAATTTGTATTTATTCGAACAAAGATCAGACCATGAAAAATTTATCCGTCATGAATATCGTAGTCTCGACATAGATGATTTATCTTTGATCGAACTGATAAGAGAATTTGTCAATGAGCACGTAAACCGATCTGAACACTCTTAACTGTTACTATTTAAACTTTTACATGGGAAGGGGTGATGAATTTTGAACCCGCAAACTAACGATCTAACGACAAACTGAAGTGATTTGATCCTCGGGCACCCTTCACTATTGAACCAACCAAAAAAAAAAAAAGAAATATAATCTTTTGAGTCACTGTGAAAATGATAATACTCTCTCTCTTAATTGTTTCTTGGTTTCTAGAGTTGTCCGTTGAGATCCAAATCTTCTTGAAAATCAGTGCTTGATTATATA